ATCACCTGAGCCTTCTGGGCAGGTGTGGCTCACTGGGCCTGAGAGAACCCAAAGACCATGCCTGTGAAACCCACTGTAGCCCCTGGGGCCTAACCCCTGCCTTGTCCCACCCTGGGGCTGAACTCCTGCCTCGTCCCACCCTGTGGCACCCACCCTCCTAGTTAAGGCCCTGTGCTCCCTACGGTATGTCCCTGGGTGACCTGCTGATGAGCTGTTCTGGGCCCTCTGGATAGAGGCAGGTGGTCCTTCGGAAGACTGGCCTGTGAGATAGTTGGTGTTGAGAAACCAGACCAAGGGCAGCTGTGGGTCCCCAGGGAGTCAGCCGATGCCACCTGCTGGACAGGACTGACTCACTTACACAGCAGGTGCCTAAGCACAGCTCGCCTGTGTGCACTGCAGGCCCCGCCCGAGGCCCTTGCCTCAGTCTGGTGAGGACTCGAGGTTCTGAGTCGGGAGTGAGCACCCAGGAGTCTAGGAGTCCGTCACGCCTTCCTCTGTGCTAACCCTCATGAAGATCCCTCTTGTCCTCGTGCCTCAGTTTACTCAACTGCAGATAATGAGGAAGGACCGTGGCCCTATTCACTCAACACCCTTGTGGCCATAATGTCATGTGGGGAAGGTGGCAGGAGTCACCGAGCGGATGGCCAGGCGGTGGGATCCTGCCTCACGGCTCACGTTCCCTTTAGAAAATGAGCATGACAGAGGATGACAAGAGGAGCTGCTGCCTGCTGGAGATTCAGGAGACGGAGGCCAAGTACTACCGCACCCTGGAGGACATCGAGAAGGTGGGGCTGTGGCCTGGAGCTCTGGCCCTCCTGGGGTGTGCTCACGAGGAGCAGCGTCTCAGGCCACTATGGCAGGACAGAGGGGCTTAGTGGTTGTTCTAGGTTGCTTTCTATTGCTGTGATAAAACACCCTGACCAGAAGCATCTTAGGAGTATATTTGGAGTATACTTCCAGGTCACAGTCCATCACCTGAGCCTTCTGGGCAGGTGTGGCTCACTGGGCCTGAGAGAACCCAAAGACCATGCCTGTGAAACCCACTGTAGCCCCTGGGGCCTAACCCCTGCCTTGTCCCACCCTGGGGCTGAACTCCTGCCTCGTCCCACCCTGTGGCACCCACCCTCCTAGTTAAGGCCCTGTGCTCCCTACGGTATGTCCCTGGGTGACCTGCTGATGAGCTGTTCTGGGCCCTCTGGATAGAGGCAGGTGGTCCTTCGGAAGACTGGCCTGTGAGATAGTTGGTGTTGAGAAACCAGACCAAGGGCAGCTGTGGGTCCCCAGGGAGTCAGCCGATGCCACCTGCTGGACAGGACTGACTCACTTACACAGCAGGTGCCTAAGCACAGCTCGCCTGTGTGCACTGCAGGCCCCGCCCGAGGCCCTTGCCTCAGTCTGGTGAGGACTCGAGGTTCTGAGTCGGGAGTGAGCACCCAGGAGTCTAGGAGTCCGTCACGCCTTCCTCTGTGCTAACCCTCATGAAGATCCCTCTTGTCCTCGTGCCTCAGTTTACTCAACTGCAGATAATGAGGAAGGACCGTGGCCCTATTCACTCAACACCCTTGTGGCCATAATGTCATGTGGGGAAGGTGGCAGGAGTCACCGAGCGGATGGCCAGGCGGTGGGATCCTGCCTCACGGCTCACGTTCCCTTTAGAAAATGAGCATGACAGAGGATGACAAGAGGAGCTGCTGCCTGCTGGAGATTCAGGAGACGGAGGCCAAGTACTACCGCACCCTGGAGGACATCGAGAAGGTGGGGCTGTGGCCTGGAGCTCTGGCCCTCCTGGGGTGTGCTCACGAGGAGCAGCGTCTCAGGCCACTATGGCGGGACAGAGGGGCTTAGTGGTTGTTCTAGGTTGCTTTCTGTTGCTGTGATAAAACACCCTGACCAGAAGCATCTTAGGAGTATACTTTTCCTTCCAGAACTACATGGGCCCCCTGCGGCTGGTGCTGAGCCCGGCAGACATGGCTGCCGTCTTCATCAATCTGGAGGTAAGCATCCCAGCGCCGTCCTGCCCCTTCACATGGTTGATGTCCCTGGTGACCTTGCAGAGCTGGCGGAGCCATGGCTGGCTCGTGACTGATAGGCGGGAAGATTGCTTCCCGTTCTGGAGACTCTACGGAAAGCTGGAGACAAGATTTCCAGCGTGGTTTGACTGAGTGATACCAGCACTGATGTTGGTCTTGCCGGCTCTGCACAGACTGGCACAGCCCTGGAGGGGACTAAAGACCCCCAGAACTATGAACGAGGCTTCTGTCAGCATAGGAGGGAGCTTGCCCACAGCGGGTGTCTGACCGCTTATATGCACCAGGCAACCCGTGTGAAGGTTAATCTTGCGTGGTCGGCAGAGCAGACAGCTGACTTGAGGCTCCAGATGCTACGACTGAGTGGGTGCCCTCCAGAGCATAGTGCTTCTGACTGCTCGTCACCTCCTGTCAGCTCAAGGGCTGGGGTCTTACTATCACACACGGGGCTGACCTAGACTCCAGAGCGTGCCTTCTACTCTCTGAGCCCCAGCCTACTGTGAGGCACAGCCTGGACAAATGACTTGGGACAGAGAAGATGCTGAGAAGGGAGGTGGGTGGGGTGCTGTGCACAGTTGTGCATCTGTTGTGATACATGGCGAAGTGTGCTTCCCCCAGGCCAAGAAACTGAGGACTGAGTTTCCCTGAGCTCTGTTCCCCTAAGCAGCAGGGAGACCCTACATGGATGCTGGCTGAGAACAGCCACCCTCACTCACCCTGCTTTCTCCAGCCTCTTCTGGCCTCCAGAGTGTACTGGGGAGGCCTCAGGGGCTGCTGAGGGACTGGGTAGCTCCCTCCAT